ATATATTGGGAATTGAACTCAGGCCCTTGTGCTTGCCAGGAAAGCGCTTATTCTACTGAGCTATCTCCCCAGCCCCTCAAAATTTTTTTAAAAAATCCTAAAAGAAACAAAAATGGGCAGGCTGTGGTAGCCCAGGCCTGTGATCTGTAATCCCAGCACTCAGGAGGCTGAGGGAGGAGAATCATGGTGAGTTTGAGGCCAGCCTGGGCTACATAGCAAGCCCCTGTTTCAAGTGCTCCCATGCATCTAAATGATAACAACAACAAAAATGTTAAAACACAAAAGAAAAGAATTAATTTGCCTTAGGGCTATGCTTGAACTTCTCCCCTGGGGAGCGTGGGCCTGGGCTGCACCTGGGCTCTTATCGTAATCCAGTTGCAGATGGCTTGAGAGATTTTACATCCAAGGGGCTGTAATGAGTCACCACAGCTGAGATCCACTGGACTAAATAATTGTCAGGACAAAGGAGTAACAGAGGAAATTAAAGAATTTCTGAATTTCTGATTAGCCCACTTGATCCCATGGATCTGACCACAGGTGTCATTCTGAGCTTCCTGGCAGCCAGGGCAAAAAGGAAACACTTCTGAAGTTGAAAGAGTAACAATGGGATTTATTCCATAAAATGTGTTATACTTTCTGTCACCTGTACAGGGAACGTCCAGGCCTGGCCTGTGGTGACGGTCCTGGCTGAGCACTGGGCCCTCTCTCTTCTCTTCCTGGCTAGCACAGAACCACAGCCCCCAGTGAGCTCTCCACCCAGCCTGGCCTGGCCATGGCCTCCTCCCAGGGCCACAGCTGGCTGCCTCCGTGCTAGGCGGACACGGAAATGTGAGCTGGAAAGGTTCTGGACTTACTGATGGATGGCTTGGAGGAACTTACGCTGGTGTTTCCGAACCCGGGCTTGGTCTGGCTTCTTTACCAGCCTGGTGTGTTTGTAGATGAGCCATGTCTCCCTGAGAACATTAGCAGCGGCGTTTTTTACCTGGGGCGAAGGAAAGAACAGTTTCTCAGGACAGGCACAAAGAAAACAAAACAACAACAGAAAAAGAGGGAGAGAGAAATTGGTTTCTGGAAACCTCTAGAAGCTTCTAGAAACTTTGAGAAATTCCTGGAAACCTCCAGAAACTTCTGGACCCTTGGGCTATGAGGCAGGGTCATGCTTTCACATTCGCACCCCTGCAGTGTCACCATGTCGCATGCTACCCTTGCCCACCACACCTGAACAGTGTGAACTAGGTCGATTTGCACCAGGCTGATAGCTCACTCATCTGCCCATGGGGAAACTGAGGTAATTCAGCAATTCAGACATGCATGGGCTCATGGGGGTGCCAGTGGGTGCAGGGGGACGACGAGTAGGGCCCTCACCCGCTTGGTGAGCTGAGTGTCCATCATGAAGTTGTGCACATGCTTCTCTGCCTTGGTGAGCTCCAGCTTCCGGGCCACCACAGCCACCACCAGCGCGGTACAGCCAGCTCCCTGCATGGGTGGAGGGCGGGTTGGTGTCTCGCAGAGCCGCCTGAGCTCTAGCTCTGCCACACAGCCCACAATGGCCTAACTCGTCCTGTCCCTGGGTCTTGGGCCCAGCACGGAGCCAGCTCAACCAGGCCAGCCAATGGAGGCTGACTTAGTTCTGGCAACTATGGAAGTGGTGATCACTGGGGAAACTGAGGCACAGAAGCACAAAGTGCTTGGTCCCAGGGCTGTGGAGAATAAGGGGCCAAGCACAGCTCCCACAGTGATCCCCAGGAGGCAGTGGGCATGGGGGCGAGAGTCCTCACCATGATGCCGGTGAGCAGGCACACGCCCTTCCCACAGTAGGTGTGCGGCACCATGTCACCATAGCCGATGGACAGGAAGGTGATGGAGATGAGCCACATGGCCCCCAGGAAGTTGCTGGTGACCTCTTGCTTGTCGTGGTACCTAGGGTAGTGCACATAGGGAGTGGTCAGCCTGGGGCAGTCCCTGGGGGCAGACAGCAACCTGCCACCTCCCTCCTATGCCCTTTATGTTCTTTTGTATTTTTGAGGCAGGGTCTCACTCCATCACCCAGGTTGGCCTTAACCTCCTGGTGACCATCCTGCCTCAGCCTCCAAGTTCTGGGCCTGCACTGCTTTTGACCTCCCCCGTGCCAGTCTTTGCTCTCTGGGAACTTGACAGAGTCCCCTTGCCACCCACACCTGTGCATGGACAGACACACGGACATATGGGACACGGGTGGCCGAGGTGCCAAGAGTGGTGGGGAGTGCAGCGGGAACTGAGGTCATAGCAGGAGTGGCCATAGCAGCATGGACAGAGGGGGACTGAGGCCACAACGCAGGGAGCCCAGAGCCCAGGCCTTGGGTAGGGTGGGAGCAGGGTGGGAGGCTGGCTGGGTCTGCACAGCCACAACCAGGCCCTGGAGTGGGTCCAGGTTGACTGTTGCAGGCCAGGGCTGAGCGGGTGGCTCTCAGGGTCTGGGGACAGCATGGGACCCCTCACAACCACAGTCCCACAGTGCCCTCCAGCTGGCAGCCCCACCTTGCGGGGACCAGTTCCTTTACTGCCTCAGCCACGATGGGAGGCAGGGGACAGTAAGACAACAAGGACAGCCCACAGATGAAGGCTTTGGGGTCCCTCCCTGGGCCCCTAACTTGGCTTCCAAGTGTCCAATGCTGAGCCAGAGCAGGGCCCAGGTGACACTGGGCACACACAGGGACATGGCAAGGCAGGGAGGGGCACAAACATCACCTTAGGCTCAGAATTTAGGACTGGCTGCCCACTGGCCCTGCCCCGACTGGCTGGGGCTCCAAGCCTGCAATGCCTGGCTCAGCTCCTGTGGGGGCGGGCTACAAGGACAGCTTGGAGTTCCAGGTGCCCCATGGGTGAGGACTCCAAGGCCCTCCCCATGTCCCCTGCAAGAGGGCGGGGACTGTCTGATCCTCAGACAGGTAACCAGCACTGGGCCCAAGCTCGTGAGTGGCACTTGAGACTCAGTTTCCCCAATAGCTAAGTGGGTAGCCTGATGACCTTCAGGACCACCTGGGCCAATGCTCACAAAGGTCCTGGGGCTGAGGCGGCTTGGGGACTCAGGTAGGCCCAGAGCGACAACAGCCACCCCCACCCCCGGCTGCTCCCCCACCCCGGACCTCTCGGGACAGGGACGGGGCCTCATGACAACACCCTCTGCCCCCCTCCACGGCAGCGAATCTTAAATTCCTAGCGGGGGCGGGGGGCAGCAGAGGACAGCCGGGGCAGGGCAGTGGCAGCCCGGAGCACACTCACATGTCTTCCCTGCGGTCCGGCAGGGTGGGCAGAAGGGAGAAGGAAAACCGGTTAAATGTGGGGGACAGGGGCAGGGACAGGAGGGGCCCCCAGGGCAGAGGGCAGAGGGCAGCCTCCAGCGGGAGCAGCTCTGCACCCTTCAGGCACCTCCGGGCACGCGGCCCCGCGCAGGCTGCGCACGGAGCGCGCCTGCGGGCTCGCGCACCTCTCGCACACGCGCACGGTCCAGGCTGCGATGACCCAGGACGAGATGCTGAACACCAGCAGCACGGTGCCGGGGCAGATGGTCATGAGCGTCTTCATGACGAAGCGCGTGTTGAACGTGATCTTGTTGAGCGCGCCGATGCTGCGCGAGGAGGCGTCCGTGAAGACCTTGCTGTGCAGCAGCATGACGCGGCCCAGCAGGTAGAGGCGCAGGAACATGGGGATGGACAGTAGCACATCCACGTCGGCCTCGGCCACCGACGGCGCGTACGTGAAGGCCAGCCGCGCAGTCCAGGTGAAGCGGGAGTGGCCGGGCACCGGGTGGATGGCACACACCGCCAGCTCCAGCGAGATGAGGAAGACGCGCTCGCGGGTCATGGCAATGCGCCAGTCGTCCGCGCCGTTGTCTGCCATGAACAGCTGCGGGGGGGCAGTGAGCGTCACGCCGGGCTGGGGCAGCCTGGGCCTGGAGCCCACCCGGGGCCGGGTCGTCCCTGCCCCAGCCAGAACCGGGCTACGTGGACAGAACTCCCTAGGCTTCTGCGTTGGAGAGAACTTGGGCAAAACGGCAGCCTGGTCCACACCTACTTGGAAGACTGAGGCAGGAGGATCTTGATTTCAAGCCCAGCCTGGTCAGGGACTTAACAAGACCTCATCTCAAAAATTTTAAAAAAAGGGGTTGGGGAGATAGCTCATAAGCATAAGCACCTGCCTGGTAAGTGCAAGGTCCTGAGTTTGATCCCTGGTACCAAAAAAAAAAAAAAAAACAAAAAAAAACAAACAAAAACAAAAACCAAACCTAACCATAAAAAGGGGGGGGGGGATGATCAGAATACACTATACACATTAGAATCCCCAAAACAAGAAAGGGGTAGGTGAAGCAAGGGGTAACAGAGTGAAAGATGGAAGCATCTCCCAGGCTGGGTGGGAGGCTGAGCGGGGAGGACCACTGGGAATGTGAGACCAGCCTGGGCTGCACGTTGAGACCGATCTCAGAAAACACAACAAGAAATCCTGGAAGCCAGGCATGGTAGCCTGTAATCCCAGCACTCGGGAGGCTGAGGCAGGAGGATCGTCGTGAGTTTGAGACCAGCCTGGGCTATAGAGTGAGCTTAAGACCAGTGAGACCCTGTCTCAAAAAGACCGAAAAAAAAAAAAAAGGAAGAAAGAAAAGGAAAAAAACAAAGGGGGCTATTTGGATATTTGGACACGGTTCCCCCACAAGAAGACATGCGACCCTCAAGACAGCAAGAGGGTGCACCCCTAGCTGCCAACCAGTGCCAGGAGGCGCCTGGGCTGTGTGCACCCCACTGTCCTGCAAAGACCTTATCCTGCCGGGCCTGGGGCTTGGACTTCCAGCCCCGAGCCAGGCAGCCTTGCAGGGCTGCTCCCGAAACTACTCAGCCAGCTGGGCTCTGCAGAGGTGCTGCGCAAGGCTCACTTGGCCTTTCCGTCCGTGACCCTTTTTATTTTGAGGCAAGGCCTCACTAAACTGCCCAGCACGAGCTCGAACTTGTGACCCTCCTGTCTCAGCCTGCCAGAGTCCTGGCACGACAGGTGCGCGCTGTCTCGCCCTGCATACCTCTTTTCTTGGTGAACTCAGCAATGAAAATGAAAGCACAGGCCTGGAGATGGGGGTGCCTGCAGGGACCCAAGGGGACCCTCTGTCCTCCCTCTAAACACTCATCTGGGCGTCGGGACCCTGGGGCCGTGGTGTGCCTGGCTGGGGAGGGGCAGGCAGGGCCACCAACCTGGATTTCCCGGGCGTGGTACAGCACAACTAGGCCCAGCAGGATGATGGTGGACAGGCTGATGAGGCATTTCAGGGCAAAGGAGTACAGAGACGCCTGCGGACAGAGGAACACAGGACGATGCAGGGCGTGCGTCAGGGCAGAGGCCAGGAGGAGCACGGGGCACTGGGCTGCGACCATCCACTTCCCTGGCTGGTGAAAGCCTGGCTTCATGTCTGGTCTTCTTTTCAGCACTTCTCTGTGCATGAGGCCTGGCGTCCCGTGGCCCTCTGCCCCAGTGTCTTTCCTCACAGGGGTGGTGGCAGGAGATGAGGGTACCCAGCTCTCAGCTGGCCCTGGCCCACTCTTTCCCTGTGCCCCCTGGTGTCCCTGGGCACCCACCTTGGTGTAGACGCCCCAGGACAGCTCAGTCTCAGTCACCATGACAACAATGCCAAACATGCCGAAGATCAGTGCATAATCACTGAGCCGCTTCCGCTTCTCAAACAGCGCCCGCCGGTGGCCCAGGCGGTGGCCTGCAGTGGGCGGCTTCCCCCGGTGGCCGCTGTCATCCTCCTCCTCTTCCTCCTCCTCGTCCTCTGCCTGGTCCTGGGGCTGCCCGCGGGTACTGCCGGGGGATGGCCGGGCAGGCTCACCCTTGGACACCAGCACCTGCAGGCCTGGGCTGTGCGGAGGCTGCATGGGGCGGCCGGCCTCGGGGTCTGGGGGCTCGCGGCCCAGCACACCTGGCCCACTGCCCAGCGGCCGCCCCGCGCTGCCATTGTGGCTGTGGCCGTTCATGGCCACTTGGGTGCGGAGGCCAGGGTGGCGGCAGGCCATGTGTGGCCCGGCATGGCGCAACGGTGGGGATCCCCAGCTGACCTGCAGGAAGGGACATGGGGGCTGGTCACAGATGTGACTGGGGTCCTCACTGCCCAGTGGAGCCTGAGACACCCAGTTCTGCTACACTCTCCATGCCAAGTCCTGCTGTGGCTCCCAGGTGCTGTCCTGCCCCAGCCCATGTCCCACTGTGGCCAAGAGCTCCTGGGCTATCGCTGTCCCTCCTTCCCTCTCCCACCTTCATCCACATTGGCCCCGTGTCCACACCTTCCCAAAACTGCCAGACCCCAACTCCCAGTCCCCTAAAGGCACTGGCATAGGGTCACCTCAGCCTGACCATTAGGTTCTATGATCATACAGTTTCCTACAGGAGGATCGCAAGTTTGAGCCCAGCCTGGGAAATTTCTCTTTTCTTTTTTCTTTTCTTTCCTTTCCTTCTTTCCTTCCTTCTTTTCCTTTTTTCTTATTTCTTTTTTTTTTTTTGAGGCATTCTTGTTATACAGTCTAGGCTGGCCTTGAACTCACAGCAGTCCTTCTGTTTCAGGCTCCCAAGTGCTGGGATTACAGGTGTGCACTACCATACCTACTGCAGAAGTCCTGGGCTCCATTACCAGTGACACACACACACACACACACACACACACACACACACACACAGAGGCACACATGCACGCACGGGCAGCACATGCAAGTTGGCCAGGCAACATCAAGGTTCAGGGCAGTGGCCACTGAGACCCTGACATTGACTCCGGCCTGGCAAGTTCTGGGGCCCTAAAAGGGGGGCCTGGGCTTGGCCAGTATAGATGGGGAGACTGAGGCATAGGGCTGGCATGGGACAGAGTTGAGACCATGCCCTCAGTGGTCCCTGCCCCTACCCACCTGGGCACCTTGTGAGGCCTGACGTCTTTTGGCCTAGCTTGTGCAGGACTGAGGATGGAGCCAGGGCCCAGAGTGTGCTCCACAAGAGCTCTACCCCCGAGCAGCCCCAGCCCTACTAACTCCTTGAGAGGATCTCACTCACTGCGTTGCTCACACCAAACTCAACTTGAGATCCTCCTGCCTCAGCCTCCAGATTGGCTGGAATTACAGGAGTGGGCCACCCTGCTGGCGACTTCGCCCTGATCTCTGTCCACACACTCAAACCCCGCCCCTGGCAAGCAGTGCCACCAGCTGCTCCATGGGATGAGGGGGTCATCATGCAGGGGACAAGGAACCCAGACATCCTGCTGCCAGCCTCCCACTGTGCAGGATTCCTGTGAGAGCCACTAGGAACGACCTTCCAAGATGCAGGGCCCAGAGAGCTCGGGTGACTCAGCCACTGGGTGTGCCAAGCCGCCTATCTGCCATGTCCCTCAGCCTCGAGCACACGTCCTAAGGTGCCCTGGGCAGGGAGGCAATGGGGGAGGGGACACAGGACAGGCAGTTCAGCGAGGACCGGAGGGCTACACTGGCATCCACCATGTGAAAAATGGAGCCCCAGGTGGGAAATGTCACATATCACCCCTCTTGCCACCTGAGGAAGCAGGTGGCACCCCCATTTCCATTTCAAACACAAAGGCAAAGCTCAGAGGGGGCAGCACTCAGCCAAGGTCACAAGCCAGGAAGGGCAGGGGCTAAATGGGTGCCAGGGCCTGCAGGCTGGCAGCAAGGGACAGTGAGGGTCTGCCACCTCCTTGACCCGACAGGGACATGGGACTGCTCTGATGAGGTTCTGGGGAGAGGATCAGCCCATTTCTAAAGGTTATCCAGGCCAGGTATGCATGTGCAGTGCGGTCAGTGTCCTTTAGGGCCTTTTCTCTTCCCCTGTTGCAAGCTGAGCCACATGTTGGGGTCCCCTGCACAGGCTGAGGACCCCTGTGAAGCCCCAGGCAGAGTCGATGCCCTCAAAACCTTGTAGCCAGATGTTTTTGGCGAGGCCTCCGAGCTGGCGGGAGGGACGCCCATGGCTGGAAACACTGGCAGGCCATGCCTGGGTCTGAGTGTGTCTGGGCACAGGATTCCTCCTTCCCAAAGGTTGGGGTGGGGGCATCTGTGGCACCCAGAAGAAGAAGTTTTATGGAACCTAAGTCAAGGGGCCCCCAAGAGAAAAGCAAGGGGGAGGGGGTGGCTCATATGTGCTCCCCACTTCACAGCACCCTGGGAAGAGAAAAAAACCAAGCCAAGACCTCCAAAGCCCCAGAAGGAACCCTTCCACACAGCAGGGCCAGCCAGTCTCTCCATCCCAGCACTGAAGAGGCTGAGGTGGGAGTATCCTCACAAGTCTGAGACCAACTGAGGCTACAAAATAAAACCTTGTCCCAAAAACCAAAAAACAAACAAAAAACCCAAACGAAAATACAAAATACTGTAGGCTGAAGCAGTGGGCTGGGAGGGGGGCACTCTCGAATGTCCACACGCATGACCAAAGTCGTCACTCTGCCTGCCTGCCTCCTTTGAGAAGGGTCTGCAGAGGGCCACCGCACACCATGGTGGCCAGGATGGAGTGACAATTGCCTCTTTCCATCCTTGAGAACTGGGTCAAGAGAAAGTGTCACCTGCCTGTCAGTCCCGAGGCAGGGCCCCCACCCCCACCCAGGAACCGCAGTCGGAGCGGGACACCGGGACACAGCAGAAACTTCCAGGGCAACTGGGCCTGATGTGGTCCCCAGGCAGTGCAGCCCGAGGCCACATGTCTCCTGGAGGGTGAGGGGCGGCCTCGAGGACCCTGGCCAGCACGCGGAGGGGAACTCTTAGGGCGATGCTGCCCTTGCGCCCCTGCTCCCCGGGCGCCTGGAAGCCCTTCTGGTGGCTGCGGAGGTCCCCGTCCAAGAACCGAGCCACCAGCCCCCTCATATCGGCGCCCCTTCGGGGACACCGAGCTAGTGGCCAGGCTGGGCACCCGGACCGGTTTTAGGGTTCACCTAGGAGACCCAGTCGCCTGACCTGACCCAGGGATCCTAGGTCGGAAACAGGGGGCCCCATACCTCCGACCCCCCAAGTCAGGCTCCCCTGCGAGCTGCCCACCATGGAGTGTGGGGACTCCGCTCCGCATCCACCCTGCGCCCCTTGGGGATGGGGTCCCCTATCCTCACCCAGCCGCTCGCGCCGCCCCTCCGCCCACGCGCGCCCCGCTTGGTGAGCCTGCGGCTGGGGGCTCGCACCCGTCCCATCGGTACCTGCGGATGCGCCAACGGAGGAGTGAAGGTCCTGCGCGGCCGGGGTCCCGCGGGCGGGGGCGGGGCGCGGGG